ATTCCCGGGCTGAAAAGTGCCATGAGGTTCCAGCACGGCTGTTTCAGCCGGCACAGAGGGTCTCCGCACAAAAACTCACACAAACCTGGACGGCTGTCTCAACTGGTGCCTGGAATCCCAGATGTAGGTGAAGGAGAGGGAGGCAGCAAACCACAGTGCCATGTATGTACCTATGCAAAATCCTGCATGTTCTGCACATGTACCCCAGAACCTAAACTGCAATAACATATATATATATATATATATATATTAAAAAACAAAAACAAATTTACAAGAAAAAAACAACCCCATCAAAAAGTGGGCAAAGGATATGAACAGACACTTCTCAAAATAAGACATTTATGCAGCCAACAAACATATGAAAAAAAGCTCATCATCACTCGTCATTAGAGAAATGCAAATCAAAACCACAGTGAGATACTATCTCATGCCAGTTAGAATGGCGATCATTAAAAAGTCAGGAAACAACAGATGCTGGAAAGGGTGTGGAGAAATAGGTACACTTTTATACTGTTGGTGGGAGTGTAAATTAGTTCAACCATTGTGGAAGACAGTGTGGTGATTCCTCAAGGATCTAGAACCAGAAGTATCAACTGACCCAGCAATCCCATTACTGGATATATACCCAAAGGATTATAAATCATTCTACTATAAAGACACATGCACACATATGTTTATTGTGGTACTATTCACAACAGCAAAGACTTGGAACCAACGCAAATGCCCACCAATGATAGACTGGATAAAGAAAATGTGGCACATATACACCATGAAATACTATGCAGCCATAAAAAAGGATGAGTTCATGTCCTTTGCAGGGAATAGATGAAGCTGGAAGCCATCATTCTCAGCAAACTAACACAGGGACAGAAAACCAAACACCATATGTTCTCACTCATAAGTGGGAGCTGAACAGTGTGAACACATGGACACAGGGAGGGGAACATCAAACACCAGGGCCTGTCGGAAAGTGGGGCATTAGGGGAAGGATAGTATTAGAATAAATGCCTAATATAGATGATGGGTTGATGAGTGCTGCAAACCAGCATGGCATGTGTATACCTATGTAACAAACCTGCATGTTCTGCACATATACCCCAGAACTTAAAGTATAATTAAAAAAAAAAAAAAAAAAAAAAATAAAAATAAAAAATATCGCAAAAAAAAAAAAAAAAAAAAAACAAAAAAAAAAAAAAAAAAAAAATAATATAAAAAAAAAAAAAAATAGAAAATGGTTGCTACTGGGAGGGGGAAAATGAAAGTGGAAAATAGCACAGGATCACCATTTATTATAAACACTGTAGAACGCTTCCCCTTTTTAAAGAATGACATGTATAACTTAGAAAAAAGTGAAAATTACTAATCTACTAGAATAATTATTAGCCACTTAAGTCACCTGGTAATTAGCAGACCATCTGACCTCCCAGATCAGCACAAAACTGCCATTCCTTCAACATTCCAAAATATATTTTCATTTTAGAAAGATGAAAACTACAGAAGATAGGAAGAAATAACACAGAGCAACACCACTCAAAGATAATCATGTTAAATATTTTGGTATAACTGGATACTTTTTTCTAGGCATTTTTTCAACAACTGACTTCATATCTGGCATGTAAATTGGTATCCTGAATTCATTTCTAAAATAACTGAAACTAAATAAGAGGAAAAGATCATTTGCTGGAAAAAGAAACCCAACCTCTCCCAACTCATAACACAGCAATTCAGTATGCATATTCTATTGAAAAGAAGTCAATAACAACATTTTTCGCAAAAAAGCAGAAAAAAATATGTAATCTCTTTTAACAAGCAACAGCTTATAGCATATCAATTAAGAGTCCAGGTGCTAGAATAGTCTATGTGGGCTCAAATCCAAACTCAGCTGTTTTATTGGTTGTGTGATGGACACTATTTGTAACATCCACAAGCCTCAGTTTCTCTAAATGTAAAATAAAAATAATAGTACCTACCTCCTAATGTTTCTGTGAGGAGTGCCTGTCCAACAGTTAGCAAAAAACCCAGCATGTAGTAAACGCTCAGTAAACATTAACTATTAGCACTGTATTATAATTAATAACCATCTAATGGGTGAGACACAACAAAAATATGTAAGACCAGCAGAATAAACAAAGGGATTTAACAAAGCCAAGCACAAAAGGTCACCAGCGTGACAGGAAGGACAGGACAAAAGCCTCTCCTCTCTGGTATTTGACACTAAAATTTATTTGTCAAGTAAGCGAATCATGGATGCACTTTAAATTCCAAGCTAAGGAGTTTCCGAGCAACTTTAGTGACCTGATCCAATAAGAGAGGGTTGCATAGGGAGGGAAAGAGTTATTCAGGATGATTCAGTAATGGAAACTGTCAAAATGTCACTGCAGCAGGTCACACTCTAGAGAATAGGTCTTCCACAATAGGATACTGCTAAAAATGTGAATTAGGTTTTGAGATACAGTTGACCCTTAAACAGCACAAGTTTATGCAAGTCCACTTATATTCACAAATTCAATCAAAAACACAGTATTTGCAGGATGCAAAACCTGCATATAGAGAGGGCCAACATTTCCTATGCAAGGGTTCTGCAAGGCCAACTGTGGGACTTGGGCATGCATGAATTGGTGTCCTGGGACCAAGCTCCGCCGAGGGACAAATCTACTCTATCCTGAGTCCCTGGCAGAAGGACAGTAAGAGTCAGAACGTTTTGAAAAGAAAGTTTGATGGCCAAAGAAGTGCTCACATATAACATAGGCCTGTAGCAACTGAGGGTCCTCCAGGGCATTCCAGTTTCAGTGAAGAAATTATCTTGGGATGGGGTGAGAGGAGACAGGAAGATTATCCCTTCTTGTCGAGGAGCAAATATTCTGGAAAATAAGAGATTTGTCCAGGACTTGTGTCACTTGATCTTCCTGTGAAATATAAACATGATAAGAAATAAAATAACAAATGTAGGGCCAACTGCCCTTTCTTTTTTAGTCTTTATCCTAGGGAGATATATCAACTGAAAGGCTAGGATGGGGAAAGGGGTGAAGGAGTCACAGGTAACTGAGAGCTCTAGGCTAAAAATAATGATCCGATTTTAGTTCTGCTACTAATTAGCTGAACAATCACACTTCATCACTGCCTTGGTTTTCTGGTGTGTAAATTGGGGATGTAACATCTGTTCTACCTACCTAAAAAAGTATCACAAAAGAGAAAATGGGATAATGCTTCCATCAGCCCAAGTCCAGTTAGGTGACAGATACTACATCAGTTTTTTGCTATTTTTTAGCAGAGAGAATAGTTGACTAGGAATAACAAATTATTAATTAGGTAAATAAAAAGGCCAAAAAGACAATATTAAAGTAACATGGAGATAGCTGGGCATGGAGGTGCATACCTATAGTGCCAGCTACTTGGGAGGCTGAGATGGGAGGATCACTTGAACCCAGTTTGAAGCTGCAGTGAGCTGTGATTGCAGCACTGCACTCCAGCCTGGGCAAAAGAGTAAGACCCCATCACAAAAACAAAAAGTACCACAGAGGAATCAACTAGTGACAGCAACTTGGTATGACTTGGCTGTGTCCCCACCCAAATCTCATCTTCATTTGTTGTTTCCATAACAACTGTAATCCCCATGTGTCATGGGAGGGACCCGGTGGGAGGTAATTGAATCATGAGAGTGGTTTACCCCATGCTATTCTCATGACAGTAAGTTCTCACAAGATCTGATAGTTTTATAAACGGTTTCCCGCTTTGCTCAGTTCTCATCCTTCTCCTTGCCACCATGTGAAGAAGGATGTGTTTGCTTCCCCTTCTGCCATGATTGTAAGTTTCCTGAGGCCTCCCTATCCATGCTGAACTAAGAGTCAATTAAACCTCTTTCCTTTATAAATTACCAAGTCTTGGGTATATCCTTATAGCAGCATGAGAATGGAATAATATACTGCTACACCAAGGCTAGAGGAAAAAAGGGAAATGATTGGAATTACCAGAATTTTGAGGTTTAAAGGGGGCGCACCCAGAGAGCTGACCCCTAGGCCCTCTGAGGAGGAGGTACTGTTTGGGGGCAGGGCAGCCCTCTGAGGTGTGAACCCTGGTGAGTTGATACTGGCATAAGCTGCTTCTGCAAATTTTAGAACAACTGCAAACTAGATTGACCTACTGCTACTGCCAAAATCATCTGCTGCCAGGGTTAAGAGGGAGGCTAGGGTGAGGCTGACAGAATAGGAAGCAGGATGGAAGAGGCAAGTCTCTTCAAAGACTCACTTGAAAGCAATGGCAAGAGCTCTTTAAATAGACTCAGTTATTCACTCTCTCCCCTTTGTGTCTTTGTTTTGCCGAAATATGCATACTCAACAGAATACTCAACAGAATGACTAAAATGAAAAAGAAGAACATACTAAGTACTGTTGAAGATGGAGAACCAGAACTCTTGCAGGCAGCTAATGAGAATAAACACTGAATAACCCTTTGTGAAGAAGACAGTTTGGTAACATCCACTAAAGCCTAACATACACTTGATCCTATCACCCAGAGAGTGCACTCCTGCATGCATACATCCCGTATGATTCCATTTATAAAGTGTTCAGTAAGAAATGAATATGATCAATGTTCTTAGCAGTCAGCAAGGTGGTTACTCTTGGGGCTGGAAAGTGAGATGGCAGCAAAAGGAAGACTTCTGGCATGCTCTGCTTCTTCATCTGGGTGCTGTTTCCATGGACGTAACAAATTCATAAAAACTCATCAGGTTGTACACTTTTATATATGTATACTTTGATGTAAGCATGTATTATTTTAATAAAAGTTAAACCTAATGCCATTCCACGTCTGAGCATACACCCAAAAGCATAGAAAGTAGGAACTCAAAGAGACATTTGCACACTCATGTTCATGGCTGCATTATTCACAAAAGCCAAAAGATGGAGGCAACTCAAATGTCCCTCAGTGGATGGATGAACAGTTTTTATATATAATATTCAGCCTGAAAAGGAAGGAAGTTCGAACATATGCTGCAACACGGATGAACCTTGAAGATACAATGTTAAGTAAAATAAACCAGTCTCACAAAAGGACAAATACTACGTGATTCCATGAGGTGCTTAGAGTAATCAACTCATAGAGACACAGAGTAGAATAATGTTTGCCAGGGGCCAAGGAGGGAGGAATGGGGAGATATTGTTTGACAGATACAGCTTCAGTTTCACGTGAGTTCTGTGGATAGATGATGGTGATAGTAGCACAACAAGATGAAAGTATTTAATGCACACTTAAAAATTAGTAAGTTTTATGTTATCTGTAATACAAATTAAAATTTTAATTTTTAATTTTAAAAAATGCAATTCTAATGCATACCCTCCAAGTAAATGCATCCTAATGAAGTTATTAACTTACCTCTGCAAGACATTCCAGCATGTTCACCCCTCTTCTCTTATTGGGCTACTGTTAAGTCTACCTTTTTAATCTTGTGTATAAGAAGTGTAAAAACCAAGAATGGACTCTCCCAAGCAGCAAGGTGGGATGCAGAAGACCACTTTACACTCACATGGGACCTTACGCGAAACAAACTGCTCTAACATCCTCCTTCCCATGTACACTCACAACTCCCTGCGAGAAAGCCAGGTCAGAGAGATCTGTTACCCTCACCTCACAGCTGGAGAAACTGACTGAAAAAAAATCATCACAGCCAAGGGAAGGAACAAGTTTTCTTCTACCAAATTCAAGCTGTAAAACATCCTTATGATGTCTTATGTAAGTTCATTAGTAGACTTAAAAAGCAAATTCAATTTACAAATTAGTTTTGTGCTTCTATTGCTCCCATAAGACAATGCGTAATGTTACACAGACCTTTTTTATATTTTGAAAAACAATTTCACTGTTTGACTTGAAAACAGTTTATTTAATTTATACAAATAACTACTAAATACAAAAAGTAGATTAAAACAAAATAGTTATTTTTTTTCTGGCAGAGTTTAAATGCACATAATGGATAATTCTGAAGAAAATGCATTTTCCCCGTAGCGTTCAGGACTAAAATTCTACTGAAATCTTTGCTTCTAAATCAGTAATATATTCGGTGGTGTCACGTGGGTAATGGCTAAATACGTTCTGCATATGAACTGAAAAAAAGTTACAGTCTACACACATACAAATGTGAAGCACTTAAAATGTGAATTTAACTGATAATAAAAGAAAATGTCCGTTTTAGAGTATAGTGTTAAAAACATTTCGGTAACAAAATCATAAGACCACATAAAAATAAGCTTTAACATATGCACGAAGCAGTTTTGTAAAAACTACTAAGTGCACAAGTAATAAATAATTTGCAAAGTTGTGTATAAACAATTCCTAATGTTCGGCATCATTGTAAACATCAGCACATGTGTAAAATGCAGCAAAGTCTGACATTACATTTTGTTTTGCCAAATTGAATTCCTATTATCCAACGACAGACCAGTGGAGTACGCAGCCAACGTTTTGGCAAGTTGGGTCTTTAAAATTAAGAGTAACAGTGCAAGTAAGGAATGCAAAGAATTCCTAGTGCAATAAAGAAGAGAAGCACAGGCAATATTGCTGATTAAAAATTCACCACCTCCTTGAGTTTCCCGTGGGGAGTGTCTAGGAGACTTGTGAAAGCTATGCAAAGCCACTGTCTTAATGCCCAGATCTCTTTTAGGATTTCTCTGTGTTCCTCCAGTCCCTACCTTTGCAACAGTGTCTGTCCAACATTAGTCTCTGCAGTGTGAACAGTTCGTGAAATGCCCAGTTCACAGTCATCGAGAGAGGTTAGGGTGGTTTTGATGTCTCCCCCAACACATGGCTGGGTATGATGTCTGCCTTGTGAAAGCAGCCTTTTGGGGAGGGAGACAGATGGATTCTGTTCTGACAACCAGTCAGGCCAGCATTAGGTCCCAGCTGGACAATGACAACATCAAATCTTCCTTCTTGACACTATGAAAATGTCAACAGTCAGTTTTCAATTTGTCGAGGGAATTATCGATTTTGGTCAGAGTCTTTTTGATGCGCAGTGCTGTGAGTCTTGCGGATGGATTCTGATACCAGCATTCTTTCATTAGCTTGGCCAGAGAGGTTAATGTCTGAGAAGAGAAAGAACAAACACCACAATAACAAACTGGCTTTTTAGTGGCCCTGGAAGCTGGACTGATAATCATGTCAACTCTTTTTAAGAACTCAGAGGTCTTGTGAAATGAGAGTTATGTTACTGTCATCTTCTTTAAACAAATATTCAAGCTTTAACCCCTGATACAGAAGCCACTCTTGGAGTTTCAGAAACTCTGTCCTTTGGACTCTTAATGCTACCAATTTACTTTATCAGGTGAACGACCTAGGCCAGATTGGACCCCTTAATGATTTTATGGGTGCTAACAGAAGTAGTACGTTAGGATTAGAGATAATCCTGAAATTTCCAAATAGGACAATACCTCATTGTTTTATATCTGCTACTACTTATAAGCAGCAATGGATCTTCAGCAGTCAGCAGCTTGTGTTTGGGATTTCAGATATGCAGAGACGGAAGAGAGGTTAAAAGCTTCACTTAAAGTCTCTTGGTTTACACATGAAACTTCAGTTTTAGGGCTAGTAGCAATAGTCATGAGTCTCCCGATTTCTGGGGCTGCTCATTCACAGAAATTCTTATGAATATTGTCATTCACTAGCAACCCCTATCAGATATGGCTTCTTCAAGAATGAGAGTATTTTTCTGAACTGACTCTAGTAGATCTAAATCATTCCACATAAAATAGGAAGAGAAAACAGCAGATACACAGGGCAGATCACTCAGGTGCTATAGCAGTTGAAACTCAAAGGGAAACAAAGAGCAAATAATGGAAAAGAGCTTTAAACGTGAGAAACTGGCACTCTCACCGGGTCTGAGAACCATCTGTTGGGTATGTTTGGCCTCTGTTGATCCACACAGACCACTTTCCTCATATCTTCAAAACTTGGGTCATTGGGGACCACATCGTAGAATGGTGGCTTGTAATCCTCCACTATACCTGCACACAAAGACAAGAATTGTGCTGAGTTAGCGAGAGAGGACAGTTTCCCCCAAGGTTTCATTGTGGGTGTCACAGGTTATAATGTGACAGAAGAAAATACTAATCACCTTCCTCATACCTCAGGGCAGTCCTGGAAGCTACAAGTAGGTCCTAAAATAGGCGAAGAAAAAGGCAATGAATAGACACCCTGCAGGGTATTAGAAGAAGGATAGCTGTTAGAAGAAAATACGTGAAAGCTTCTCATGTAATGATAACTATTAGCAAGACTCTCCAACAGTGTATATTAATAGCTCTGAATTGCCCAACAGGGCACTAGAGACATAGGACAAAAATTCCTTCGGTGATCAAAAACACCCAAGCCACCTATGGAAAATACATGAATCTAGTGGTTCCAAACCATAAATAGAAATAAAAAGTTGTCCACAAACTAGAGTTAGGGATAAATAAACTAAGAGCATCATCAAAATACCTCTTTTTTTTGTTATAAAAGTATTTTTTTAAGAAAAACATTGTTATAAATTAATCTCTTCCATTAGGAGGGATGCAAATAATATAACAAAAAATACTCATTTCCTCATTCATTCATTCTACACGTACTAAGTACCCTCTAACTGCCAGGCACAGCTCTCTGACTGATAGCTCTATTATTTACTATCATATTGAAGGCACAAAATAAAATGTAAAGAGGATAGCCATGTGGGAAGGCAGAGGAGAAGGATAAATAATGAACTCTTCCTCTGCCCGAAAGCAAATATGAAAAGTAGCTAATTTCAGCTTCTGCCCCTGCATAATTTCCAATAGCCTGAAACCTTTTCTTTTCCAGCAAAATTACAATAATTCCTTACTTTAAACAGAAAAATTTTAAACTTCATTATATTGAATTAGAAAATGGATTCTTCTCCTTCATAGAAATAAAACCAAGATATATATTATTTCCTTTCCCTGAACAAAGGTTTCGAACAATGGGGTCATTAGATAACTTGGTTTACTGCTCTTTCCTTCTCCATGTGACTTTCTTCTATTCCTAAATACCTAAGTTGTTGGGGACAGAAGGAGACAGCAATAAAAGCTGTAATTCAGTTGTTCTAGTTCCTACAAGCCACCTGAAAAGCTTCAATTCCCTTTTCATGTATTATAGAAATTACTCAAAGGTGGGAATCCATTCTCAAAAATTCCATACAAATACAAACCATTTATACCAAATATTAGATATGATAAGGAGCATCTGTTCAAGAAAATACTATAGATCTTTTTAAAACTTCACAAATTTGACTAAATAAAGGTTTGTATTTGACATGGAAATTTGTCTAAATTGTATATATTTTTTTAAATCTAGGCTGGGTGCAGTGGCTCACGCTGTAATCCCAGCACTTTGGGCGGCCAAGGTGGACGGATCACTTGAGGTTGGGAGTTTGAGACCAGCCTGAGCAACACGGTAAGAACCCATCACTACTAAAAATACAAAAATTAGTTGGGTGTGGTAGAGTGTGCCTGTAGTCCCAGTTACTCAGTAGGCTAAGGCACGAGATTCACTTGAACCCAGGAGGCAGATGTTGCAATGAGCCAAGATCGTACCACTGCACTCCAGCCTGGGAGACAGAGTAAGATTCTGTCTCCAAAAAAAAATAGTTAATTCCAAATAACTTACCCAACATTGTGTAAATGTATTTGTAATGCATATCAGTCAGTGGATTAAAACCTTTCCTGGCAAATCATAAAGAGATAATATTGGGTATAAACTGCTGCTCTCACAAGTCTTGGAACACCTCATCTTAGAGGCCCTTCTTCTCCTTTAAAGATCCCAGGAAGCATTCAACAAAACTCTTTTAATTATTTTCAGTACTAACAGACACCACCTAAAATACAGCTGAACATGGACCTGAAGAGTTATTTTATACGTTTTCTAGGGTCACAGGAATTTACAGAAAACAGTAAGACATGTGCCCTTCACCATCTCTCAATTTTTCTGAAAGAGAATATATTTAACAGCCTGGCTTAATAATTAAAAATCTAGCCATCTGCTTGGAGTAATTTACCTGTTGAGCTTAGAAAGGGTTATGTGAATGTGAACAGTAATGCAACGTTGAAGTTTTCTATAAATGCAAAAGAAAACAAAGCATGGCTGGATTTTTAAAACATAAGATCTGGTGATACCAATGAATTTCACTAGACAAAGCTGAAGTTTGCCCTTGTGTTTCTGTTACCCGTGTTTTAATGTTATTAAATGCCTCCATGTTTTAACAAAAAGAGTCGTTTTTTAAAAAGACCATTTAATTGATTATACCTGGGATTTAGTCAAGTCTCTTTTACTTCAACCACTGGCCAACTGTTGATTGTTTTCACCTGATGCTGGCCATACTTCCCCAAAATAAAATAAACCTGGGATTAAGGTCCAATAGTCACTTGGAGCTCCCTCTGATCAAGGAAAGCAATAAATCAGTTGCAAGTGCATTACTACTGTCGTGGGATGCCATATTAAATGCTCTTGTTTAAGGCATGCTCTTGTTTTCCAAGGAAATCAAAATCTAGTGTAGGGGCAGGACAAGTCTCTTTTTCTCTTAGAAAATGGAAATCTTGTCAAAAAGAACCTCAAAATCTTTTTTCACCCATTGACTTTATATCTTTAAAGGTAAAACTATATCAGAAATTCTCATTCTACTTTCACTTGTGAGATCCTCGATTGACTCAATGACCATTTTGATTAGCTGTGTGTGCCCGAGACTGCTTGGTAGGAGGGATAAAAAAATCAAAAAACACGCAGTGTTGGGGATGAAGAGTAGAATAATAAGAAAAGTGGAAGAAAAAAAAGTAACAGACTAGCGTTAGAGGGAAGAGCACAGAGAAGAGGGTGGGAGGGACAGAGGGACTTGGCAGTGTTCAGAGGAGAAAACACCTCCATGGTATATCCCAAGTCCCCTATATAAACTGGGTGCTATAGAAGCACAGGTAAGCTTTCCAGGAGGCAAGTGAGGCATGGGCAGCATAGAAAGATCAAGAGTTTGCAAGGCAGAAAAGATGACAGCGAAGAGAAACCCCCACTGAATGGGTGCATTCCAGGCAGAGGGAGGCTATGGGGCAAGGACAAGAACTGACAAACCATCCTCTGTTGCTGGAGAGATAGAGAGAAGTTCTCTGGGGCTGAAATGGGTGCATGTGGTGGCAGGAGAGCCAGGGGAGAAGGGGACAGGCAGGAGGTGAGGCCAGGCTGCGAGGTGACGCATGTTGTCAAGTTAGGAAGTGACTGACTTACAACAGTGCCTCATTTATACCAGAAAGAGACAATCGGGGTAGACAGGCAAAAAAGTGAACTTGAAGTCCTTTAGAGACAGCACCCAAGAAGCAACTGCCAAATCGTGAGCCAGCAAAGAGCACAGCATGAATTCAGGCAAGTAACTGAAAATGCAAAGCACTTCAAGTGCCAAATGAGCAGTACAAACAACAAACGACACAGGAAGGCAGGGAGAGAGGCGCTCTTAAATGGTGGCCAGGGACGGAACAGACTGAGCCAGGCCTCGCCTCCCATGTAACGCAGCCAGCATGACTCAAAGGGCCACAAGAAAGAAATCAGAAACATTATTCATAACCTACTCCCCCACAACTTTTGGCAGGGGTGTCTGATTTATACAATAGTTTTTCCTGGGCATATGTCTATCTGAAAGTTTTCTCTTTTTTGGGGTAAGCCTATCTTCATCAACCAATATCCCTCCCATTAGTTTGCTATATGGCTCTAAGTCAACCCCTTAGCTGCCAGGCCTTAGTTTTCTAATACCTTTAAAGTACATACCACAAAGCTGACATGCAGATCAAATACGTCCTAGACATGCACTTGGAAAAGCATGAAATGCCAGTTGCCTCTCAAATGTCCAAAAAAAAGTCCTTCCTCAAGATCTTGCTCCAAGGTCCTGAACTAGACACCCACCTTCTTTCCGCTTGACAGCTGCAAGCAGGACCCAAAGGTCTCTCTGCTTCAGGCCTTCCCTGCCAACCTCCACCCTATCCCACTACCCTCAGTGGGATCTGTAGGAGAAAGCTGAGAAAAGAGCTCACCGTGCCCCTCCTCTGCATGTATTCCATCAGTGCTATCCACGGGAGCACACCCTTCCCCACTAAAGTCCAATCCCCACCACTGTCCTTCACACACCTGGACATCAGCCATATCAGAATTACTTGTAGTTTCATCAATAGGGCACCTTTATGGCATCCTTCAGCTCTGCCTTTTGTCTAGCACACCAATTTCTCATTCCCACCTGCAACTCACATCCTCCCAAGCTTGTTCAACTATGCTCTCACTCAACCCATGGGTGACTCAAGTTCATGCTTCTCATTTTCTGAGAAGACTGTCCCATCCTGCTACCACAACACAGGGGCCTAGACTAAGTTCAGTATCCTCGCCCCCACACTCAGTCACCCTCCTATATACCTCAACTACAATGACTTGATCCATTTATTTATCGTAATTTGACTCTTCAACAAGAATGGATTTTCTGGGGGTTGTTTTGCTCCAGTGCTTCCCCAGAGCCTAACACAACATCTAGCATGTCTTACAGACACTAAATACACAAATAAATGTTGATTATATATGTCCACAATCCTTTTTCAAAGTCTCAAGGTTAGATGCATTTGCCAAATTTGGAACTTTTCACATTTTATAAAGGTAATAAGAAGCATACCCTATATTTTATGTGACATCCCCAGCAAAATCTGGGGAGCACCCCCATGACCAAATATATTTCTTCAGCAAAATATATGGCCAGTCACACTAGATAGAATGAATAAACGTTATACACGACTCATGTCCATTCAGGTCACATTTGACTATCACATGAGTTCAGGTTAGATGTTCTGTCAAATAAGTTATGAAAAAGCTTTATGGCTTCAAAGTTTTGGGGACTTCTCAGTTGCAGATAAGAAACTGTGGACCTGGCTATGCTTTGAATTATCCAAAGATAAGGTAAGGAGAAAATAATGGGATGTTGGAGTCATGAGAATTCCATCCT